CATGTGGGAGTCCAGCAACATAACTGCTATGCCATCTGCTGGCCCCCCAAAACTTCTAATTCTTTGTTGAACTTAATTTTATTTTTATTTGACTCAATGAAATTTGTAATGACTTGTTAAATCAGTTTTATGGTGGATGCTTCAAAATCTCCTCAGACTACTCCTATATTTTAATATTTGTATCAGACAATTGTTTTTTTCTCATTCAAGTTGTGATTTTCTGTTTCTTGATGTAACTAATGACTTTTTATGGTATCCAAAATATATTGGATATCGTGTCAAGGAATTCTCGATTTTATTTCAATTCTCCATTTTAGCATTCTGTTTATATTTCACATGTAAATTTCGGCATCTTGTGGACTAATATTCCAATGATAATTTCATGAGCCTTTTCAGTGTTATTTTTTCTGCTTTATTCTTCTAATGGAGCTCTCTCTGGATCCATGATAATGTTGCCTATGGGCTAGAAGATGCTCTCAGTCACCCAGCTTAGTTACATGATCGGTATGAGGGTACCAAAACTACAAGACAGTAGTATCTCTCCTGGCCTATTCTCTGGTCACGCAATATTGGTTGATATCTCACTTTATTTCTGCTGGTACCCACTGGGGAGGAGAGCATTGACCTGGGCTGCCTTCTGCCACTGAGTATAGGGACCAAGTCTGAGTGACTCTATCAGTGAGTGGAGGGTGGGGAAACCTTGGGCCTAGGTCACCTTCTGCAATTAAAATGAGCTGGGAGCCAACAAGTCTGGATGATTCTTTGCAAGTGTTTGGAGGGCCAAAGGACTCTATGACTACTGATATGACTGGTGCATGAGAAGAATTCCTTCCTAATGCCTCTTGGTGTGTGTGAAGGGACATGGACTGCTTTGCCTATGATCCTTAGCTGCCTTGCTGTGGCCTGATTCTACCCATTAATGCTGACAGACATAGTTTGTGTCAGGCCTCAAAGTTCTGTTGTTAATGAAAATACTGACCTGCTGTTGTTGACAAGTGTGGGACAGTGGATGTGGTGGCCTTGTAAGTAAATGGATCACAGCTGCCACTAGATATGGATCTCTCTTAAGTTCCTGGTGGGCTTTCCTTTTCCTGATGTTATGTCAGAAAGAGTAGGATATCTTTCCTCACTTCCATCTTTTCTTCTTTCTTTTGTTAGCTGTTGTAGATTTCAGGCTCCCTCCGGCACTCATTCTGGAATAATGGGATGAATAGGAGGAGATACCATGGTGATGTTCTTCAGTCTCTAAGATCTTTACCTCACTAATTTTTCTACCTCTCAAAATCCTTCTATGAGTGCCTGTTGAATTATTTCCAAAGTATTTTATTACATACAAGGAAAGAGCAGGGAAAAGTAAGACTATACCACTTGTTCCTGAACTGGAAAAGCTAGTTTGCTTTTTGAAAAAATATCTTTCAACAACTGAAATTTCTTCTGAAGATGTAATATGTAGTGACAATATTCCACTATAAGAGAAACCATCCCAACTCAAAAAATATGTAAAAATAGGAAAAAATAATCTATAATCACTATCCAAAGCCAAATATAATGAACATTTGGTGAATTGCTTTCTAATTTTCTTTTTATGATGAATTAATTTATTTCTTTGCTTTTCTACTTAGCTACAACCATACCATAACTAGAAATTTAAATGATTATCTCAATATAAATATTTTTCATGTTATTTTAAATTCTTCAGAATTACCTTTAATAGTTATTCAATTTACCCTGCATCACTTTTTTCTTATTGTAGGTGTTTAAGTTGTTCTTTTTCAGTACAATTGTTTTCTTTTATAATATTATGATACATATTTTAATGTATATAATTAATTTCTAATTATATACATGAATATTTTTTCTTCATTTAAATTCAAAAGAGTTCTAAGACAATGTAGTCCCTGACTCTACTGGTTCCCAGCTGATTTTTAAATATTTCTGATCCTCTCTAATTTGCTCTCCTCAATATGGGAACTAACCAAGGTAATGTATATAAAAGTCTAAGCTTATGCTTTTACAGTATACACAAAAGCTCTGTCCTCCCTTCTGCTTCCCTTTACTCTTCCATCTTACTCTCTTCCTAGAGATAATTAGGATGAGGTGACTAGTTTGGCCATTTAGAGATCATTTCAATAACATCAGATTTTAAAATAATAATTTATATTTCTCTTTTAAACAATCTGCATCTTATCTGTGTAAATGTATAAAGTGTAAATGTAATTTACTCTTTCTAGTAAATTTAAATTAATTTAAAATGGAATAAAGAGATTACAGGATTTATTATATGTGAATGAATGTATATGTAAAAAGAGAGAGAGAGGGCTTTTGTCTGTGAGGGAGCAGGTTGAATGAAAAGTAAAAGAAGAAAAATGATATTAATAAACATTAAATGAGTAACACAACATAGCATGCAATCAAGTGACTCACAAATTCCCAAAGTCTCTCTCTGTCCCATACAAACTATATTTGGATTTCCCATGAATGGCCATTTCCCCGTAAATGTACCCATGAGATTTGTGCCTGCCCTTTATTGATACTGATTATTTTGATAATGATGATGATAGTGATGATGATGGAGGAAGAAAAATAGGAAGATAGAGGGAAGATGAAAAGAAAGAGGGTAATAGGAGTAGAGATTAGTTAACATGCATCAGTTGTTTAGTGGCTGTTGTTTGGATTATTATTGGATGATGAATCGGATTATTTCTTCTTTCTCCCTTCTGTTATCTCTTTTTTATTATTTTCTCATTTGTGCTTTCTTATAGGATGTATTCACATAGAAATGACTTATTTCTCTGCATTCAAATACAATGTTTTTATTTTAAAATTATCATCGCACATTTATCAAAGTGATAAACCATATTATTAATTTATTAATATTTCCTTACTAGTGAGTTCTACACCTTTCTTTAGCAAATTATATTTGGAATAGGAATGAATCAGAATTGAAGATCACATTATTATGGGTAGAGAATACTTTCTTCATCTTTGACATGTTGTCTACTTCAATTAGTTTTTCTTGGAGATTTGTATGAGTTTATAGAGTGATGAATTTTTATCTGTGCTTGTTTTCTCTGATCAAACAAGAACTCTGAGAATCTAGGTCATATGCCTTTATCTTTGGGATGCAGATGGTTTTCTTCTGAGAAGTCATAAAGTTCAACATTTTTGGGACTAGTTTATCCACTCACAAAGCCCTGCCTTGGCTTCACCTTTGAACCTAGGTTCCTCGAAGACCCAATTTACTATTCATTTCAGCTCATGATCCCCAGTGGGAGAATGACGCACCGTTCAGCCAAGTAGGCTCAGCCAGGAAGAGCCTGCCTTTTCCCAAACAAAATCCAATTGTGAGTTTTCTGGAAGACAGCTAGTTTGACTGGTCAGGAAAATACCATGGTGAAATGAACTCATGTGACTATACTTGGTCCTTAAGGTCTGATCTTTTCATATGGGAAACATCACAGAGAAGATTCTGTGTCATGAACTCTAACAGGCTCCAGTTAGCCTCTTAGGGTGTGTAGATTGGTTGGAAGGAATGTTTGTAGAATATATGGCACAGTACATGGACATTTAACATTATGTAATATTTCTGTCATTTCTATAATAACTATTCTATATCTTGGGGATGGCAAGTGGTGTGGTGATTAAGGGCACTGGACTCCCACATGGCCAACCACAGTTCAAGTCCCTGACCTGGCGGTTTGCTTTCTCTCTCTCTCTGTCCCTCTCTGGTCAAAGTTAAATAAATAAATAAATAAAGTTAAATAAAATAATTTATTAAAAAATAACTATCCTGTATCTTAATATCTTATTCATTAAATGCATGTATGAGGAACTCTACCATGATTGCAACCAAGTAGTATGTCATCACATATATAACCATGAAAATCTTGAGATTTAACAGCCACTGGATGCTACTTTTAGTGATTTTTTTTTGGCTTTTGTACTTAGAAATGTTAACATTTGACAGATTTTTTTTTTTAAGAGAGATTTTTTGCTATAGGACATGTGTACTCACCAGAGACAGATAGAAAGTGAGAAATCACCCCTCAGGGGGGATGATCATACCACAGACCCTTCTCCTCCATTCTCTTCTAGGGATTTTGGGCATGCATGCACATGTACCTGGCATGAGTTTTAGGCCGCCAGGTCTAGGACTCGAACTGCAGTTGACTGCGTGGGAGTCCCAGTGACACAACCATTGCACCGTTTGCTGTTCCCAATATTTGGCAGATATTTTTATATTTGATTTTGTGTTGTGAAAGTATCTTAAATCTGAAAAGGTAGGAAGATTCTCACTCAACAGTTCTTGGATCTAAACTCTTTATGCATTAAACAATGATCTTTGAATATATATGTATCATACCTTTTGTTAGTTACTGGAGTTGGAAAAATACATAAACATTCACTTGTTCACTCATTTCTTTAGAATTCATTTATTCAGCAATAATTATATACCAAGAATTGTGCCTGTGAGGAGTTACAGTATTAGAGGTAGTGAATTCCCTCATCCACTTATTCATTCATTCACTGAATAGGTCAGTGAACATTATTGAGAACCTGTTACTTGAAAGGTTGGTAAAATATGATCCCCATCTTGTATAAACTTAAAATTTAGCTATAGAAATGCCAGCTAATAAAATGATTGAGATTCTTGGGGTTAATCATGAAATGAATGGCAGAGATCATAGATGCTAGGGAATTATGCTTTATTAAAACTAGAGTTTAGTTGTTCAACATCACACTTTTTATAGCCTTTGCCTTCCCCTAGCAAAACATCATGTCTCCAGACAGCTGTGATAAACTGGAAATAACAGATGAAAGATGCATGATTCCTGCCTTTGAAGAACTTATTAGCAATAGAAATAAGAATGCTCTGCAATTATGTAATGATGGTAGTGGTGTATGAGCATTGAAGAGAGAACAGAGAACTTTCCTGAGTAACAATGTGTAAGTTCCAGAACAGCAAAGAGGATCGGGTAGCCACAAGTGAAAAAGTTCAGAGGTCAGAGTGTGCTTGCTCTGTTGGAGGGATCATATGTCATGTGTTATTACTGGAGCATAAATTCTATGAGGGACACCAAGAGAGGCTCTAGATGCCAGGAGAGAACCTGTGGATATGCCTCTGAAAAAGATGGTGAGTCAGAGGTCTATTTCCATCTGACCTGCCAGTGTTTCCCAACTCCCTTTCCTTTGCACTACCTATGAATTTATTGTATTTTACTGAAATAAAAGTAGTACTCCTTGAGCTCCTTAGGAGTAGAAAGCAAAGAACAACCATCAGGACAGTTAGGTTAGAAGAGCATAGAACCAGCTCCAAAGCATAGAGATCTATTCATCTCTAATGTCATTTCCCATGTGGGGTATAAGAAGCACCTTCACTAAGATTTATCTTTGCTGGTCTTCTCAGTAGCCTTATGGGTAAAGTAGAGGAAAACAGATATCCTGAGAGAAAAGCTGAATTTTGCCAAGCTATCCAGAAAGCCAGCAGTGGTCTAGTTCCAGAGCCCAGGCCTGCTGGGTTCACTGAAATGTTTTTTCCACAAGTCATATGGACTCTCTTTTCTGCTGTGATTCTCATGGGTACTGGCCTACCTTGTGGGGCAATTTGAATGGGACATGCAATTTAGAATGTAAAGGAGATGGATCCCTTACCTATCAGTTGTACTGGTGTCCATCTCATATTTCCAACCAGCATTCAATCATTTCTTAATCCCCCTGTTATGTTTATTTTTTATACTCAAAGGTGTTTAAGAGGTAATGATTGAAGTCCAGACCTGATACTGATTTCAACTTTAAACAAGTTTTTTTTTTAATTCTTACTTTCGTTTGTTCATCTGTAAAAATCGGCGCAGTTGTAGTACTCAAAACATGAGATAATATATTCTTAGCAGAGGTCCTGGCATATGTGAATCTCTCTGAGCCATTATACAATAGCTGTAGTGATTAATAAGATCCTGGCCCTGCCTTCTTCTTCCTTTATCCCACTGAGCACATGAAAATTTAGAAGAGAGATTGAATAAGCTTCAACAGGGCAAAAGAGTAGAAAATCCCAGCCACTGCAAACCGTTTCTGAGCACAATGGAGTCAAGCACCCATGGTATTCGTCCTCTTTCTGTAGCTTCTGACAGTGCTAGTCAAAATGCTTAGCTATTTAGGAAACATGCCTAATGTGAAGGAAGCAGATTGACTTAATCTTAGAAATCATCCTCCTCCTCTTTTTCTTCTACTCTTTCCTGCACTGCTAAGTGCTTTTAAATTTCATCTGTCCTCCTTTCCCCTAACAGTTTGTCTTGGCCTGCTGGGAAGTGTTTTTCTGATTAGGTATCTCATGGAATTGGGAGTTCCTTCATTAGTAATGGCAGCAACGGGAGTTCTGTCATAGATACACATGGAGCCATGAAAAGCACAAGTTAGGTCCTGACTGTATACGCACATACACACACCTACACACACTCACACACACACCCCACATACACAAAGACAGAATATGTCTGTTTCCATTTAGTTTTGTGTCTTAGATCAAATAGATTATACAAGTAGAACCATAGGTTAAGTATGCCCATGTTGAATTATTTGGCAAATGAGTCTGGTCTTAAAGGCATTTTTGATATCAGAGGGACTAAACAGACTTCTTTTTAGGGTCAGACTCAATTGGGCCTGGCTCAAAGTTCTTAGCCAGTTCTGAGGGTGTGGTACGGAGAGTCTGATGTTTGCTTTAATGACTATGCGAAGTCTCTTAAACAGATTGCCTGCCTAGAAAAACATTTCAGATGCTTCTCAGTACTGAACTTTGGCTCCTTCAGCCATGACCAAAGGAATATTAGGCTAGTTTAAAAACTTCTCCGGTCATTCCATAAAAATTGTGGTTTTCCTCTTCTATCAAATCAGCTAATCTCATTTAACCATGACCACAGCTTAAATGCAATTAAGTTACAGTCATAAAATTCTGACTTTCCTTTACCAGAACCTAAAATAAGGCTTACACACCAATAAGCAGAGCCCTCACAGGTCTGAGGTCTACAGGTCTGCAAGGGCAGGTGCGTGGTTCATCTTATTCTCTGTTACATCTCCATCCTAGAATGGCATCTCTGTTACTACCCACAGAATATGAATTCATAAAAGGAGTTTTATAGATCTTTCATCTTTGATGTGGTTGCCTGGTATAGAGTGGACTTTTCAGTAAGTATTTAAACTGGCAAAACATGACCTCTGGAATTCTGTCCTTTAAACCTCTTTAGGTCTAGATTCAGACTTTGATTCTTGTTAGTGGACTGCTCCCTGGACAGGTGACTCACGAAGTTGGTCTTCATGTCTGTTATGAGTATGAATAAAGGATCTGATATGAGCAGGCAAGAGATGTTATATTGAGGCTATTGAGTGGGAGAATAGCAGATGAATACAATGGGGGAGTCAGATTGGGAGGAGAGAAGACTTTCCCTCCTATATCTCTAAGATTCTATCTCCTTCCTCATGGTTCTTGCCCTGGCTGTCCCTGTAACCTTGGGTTGTACAGGTGACTTAGCAACTACTAGAAGAGACCCCCTTCAGAATCTCAGGCTTCTTTCTATCTGACTCAGTGTGAAACACCACAGAAAGTATTTTTTCATAGATTTGACCTTTAGTCACAGCTCAAATAAATACTGCATGTATAATTTTTTTAAATCAAATATACATTTTTATACTACTGTGAAGGAAATGTATACTTATTTGGAGAAATTAGGGGGCTATACAGGAGGTATAAATTAAAAAGTTATATTTCATTTTGGTTACTTTTAAGTGTTTTATTTTTCCCTTTTGTCCTATTGAGATCATATTGTGTGAAAAATGTTGTATGTTGACTTTTTACCTGATATAATTAGTACTAAAAATTTCCACATTATTGGGACAAGCAGATGGTGGAAATGTTATGTCACTGGATTCCCACATAGTAGCCGTGGTTCAAGTCCTGAACCCAGTGACTAAAAACTCATGCCAGGAGTGTGTGCGTGTATGCCTAAAATCCCGAGAAGAGAATGGAGGAGAAGGGATTGTGGTATGGCCATCCCTGCTAACGGGTGATTTCTTGCTCTGTCTCTTTGGCAAGACATGTGCCTTATAGAAAGAAAACTCTCTAAAAAATTTTTTTTCACACTATTAAATGGGACTGCAAACTTTTTCAAAAAACCACAACCTTTCATATAGGGTAAATGCATCATAATTTACTTAGACTTTCTGTCATTTTTTGATAAATGACAGAATCTGATAAATAGCAGATTGAACAGAGAGCACATAGTTAGGTTGTGCCCTATGGGTAGGCCAGTTGCCTTTGGCATCACAGCAGAAGAGAGAGACCATATGACTCATGTTAAAGCCACTTTACTGGGCCCAGGAGGCCTGGTCTCTGGAACTAGATCATTACTAGCTGTCTGTATGGTTTGGCAAAACCCAGCTTATCTTCCAAGGTCTCTGTTTCCACCTTTAGCTAATGAATAAAATTGCACTTGAGCACTTAAGTCTATTGTGAAGGCCAGAGGATTTGAATCTAAGTGAAGCTGTTTTTTAAAGCACACACAGAAGATATAGCATTGTTGCTGAACAAGGGGCTCTATACTCCCAGTCCAGGAACTCAAAGTAGCAGGTCTGACCCTTTTCTGCTCAACGAAACAGAGAGAGGAAAAATTGTTGACGAAAGAGGGAAGGAGTTTATTACAGCATGGCCACACTAGGAAGACATATATCTTCAAACAGGTCAGTCAACTTATGGGTGCTTTTATAGGAAAAGGGGTATGCTATGGGGCTAACAGCTACCTATAGAAATGCATAGAGCAGGTTACTTTTTAGCTGGAGGACACCAATGAGTAATTAGTCTTTAAGACAGAAGTTTCAGTCTTGACTAATGGTACAATCAAATGATTCATCTTCAAGATAGGAGTTTTACTTTGTTGCTGGGCAGAATATTCCACTTTCTTTTAGCTCTAGGTTGGCCATTGGTCTCCTTGGAGTTCCTGTGAGAAACCTCAAACAAAGAGTATCAGGCTAAGAAAGAAACAGCTTTTGATTTTAATAAGACAGAGTCAGCCTGACTAAGCAGGCCCCAGTTACAGTGTTATTATCAGTATCAGTGTTGAGACTTTGGAGTTGGAACTATGTTCTTCTAACCTAACTGTCCTGATGGGTTCTTTACTCTCTGCTACTGAAAAGCTCAAATAATACTACTTTTATTTCAGTAAACTACAATAAATTTATATGTAGTGCAAAGGAAAGGGAGATTCAGTCTATTGGCAGGTCAGATGGAAAGTAGATCTCTGACTCACCATCCCTTTCTGAGCCACATGCTCTCTCTTGGCATCCAGGGCCTCTCCCAATGCTCCTTCATGAACCTAGTGCTCCAATCAATGTCAGATATAAACCTAGCTTCCATTCTCATTGGGTCAAGAAATTTATTTCATGTTTTCTGGTAGTCTCTTTTAACTAGCCATTTGAGTAGAGTAGCATCTGCCACAGGTATGGATGTAATAATTATCTAGGGAGATAGGAATATTCTCATTTTGTCCTTCAGTGTTTATAATTTTATAATAATCCCCACACTAGGACCAGCAGATGACATAGTGGTTACATCTCTGGACACTCACATGGTCAACCATGGTTTGAGTACTGGACCTGGAGACTTGAAACTCACACTGGGGGCATGTGCGTGCATACATGCCCAATATCCTGAGAGAAGAATGGAGGAGACGGGATTGTGGCATGGACATCCCCTCTGGGGGGTAATTTTTCACTTTCTTTCTCTCTCTCTCTGTGGCAGCACATGCACCCTATAGCAAAAATCTCTCTCTAAAAAAAAGAAAAGACTTCCACACTGATGAATGATTAACGGTAAACAAGTTACAAACACCAATGTAGGGACCAGCAGTTAGTGTAATGGCTATGTCGCTGTACTCCCATGTAGTCGACCGCAGTTCGTGTCCCGGACCTGGTGGCTTAAACTCACGCCAGGCACGTGTGCATGAGTGATCAGGATCCCGAGAGGAGAATGGAGGAGAAGGGATTGAGGTGTGGCCATCCCCCCTGGGTGGTGATTTCTTGCTTTCTGTCTCTCTGTCTCTGTCTGTCCGGCGAGCGCACGCGCCCTATAGCAAAAAAAAAAAAAAAAAA